ATTATCTTAAAATAATTTCTTTTATATATTAGACTTATAAAAATTAAAAAGCTAAATTATCTTAAAAAAGAAACATGTGATCCCCAAACTGAAAAAAATCTATCTAATCATTTGACCAATAGAAAACTGTCACAACGTTTACATGACAACTTACAAAGCTTACATGATAATTTATAATGTTGATGTGATAGTTCACGATATTCTTACGGTATCACATGATGTACGATGATGTGATAGATAAGTTTAATTGTTTCTTTGATTAAGTTTGATGGTCTAATTGATTTTTTCAGAAAGTTTGAGGATTTATTTAATTTTAATAAAATTAAGATATTTTTAAATGTAAAATGTAAAATATAAATAATTATTAAGATATTTAATACATTAAATATAAAAATGTTATAAAATTAAATTATTAAAAAACCATTTAAGGACCATGTTGAGGGGGGAAACGTTTAAGGGTCATATTGATTTTTTACACAAGTTTGAGGGTTTTGGATACCATTAAATCAAAAAATTATTGTTAGAATGGTTTACACCGTATGAGTTAAGTTAAAAGATTTAGATATTGTGTTTCTTATTTTTAAAATTTCCAAATAATTTTAATGAAAATATTAAAAACATCTTTTTTATGTTTTCATATTTTCACTTATTATTGTTTTCATTTTCTAGAAATTATTTTCTAATTTTACAATCAAACATATTTTCTTTAACGTTTTTTATTTTTTAAGAAATGAAAACAACTTATATTTTCTAAGACCAAACTTTTAATAAAACAAAACAAAACAAACTTTAAGGATCAAAACAAAAATTTGAATATAATTCGGTGAGATGAAATTATTGTTTAAATAAAAAACCCAATTGAGTAAATTAATTCATTTAAAAATTACAGATAATTCTCAACCATCAATCTAATTCTAAAATATTTATTGTTTTCTTACTAAAGAGTTGTACATATTTTTTTTAGAATATGATTAAGTTTATTCTTAGATTATGCTTGAATTTTTTTTGGATAATTAAAATTATTCTACTTTCTGAACATTTTTTTCAAAAGAAAAATTCCCATATCCAATACTTTAGAATTTAATTCCAAATATTTTTTTCCATGAATATTATAGGATAGTGTGAAACATTTTCCTTTTCTTGGATTCTTTCATTCTTGGAAGAGTATCTTTGAAATTTGGTTGATTTTGAGTCTTTCCCCATTGACCAATTGTTTATTTTAACTCTTTGATCTTTCAAGTTTTTTTTAATTAATATCAAGTAAAATACTTATTTTTCGCTATCGAGTGATCTCAATGGTATAAGAGAATATTGATCTCTTTAAAGATTTAGGGTTTGAACATCGACGTCTGCAGGTTGCATATATATTGTTAATAAGTTAAGAAAATTCTGACCATGTACTACATTATAATCACCACATAGTGATAACAAAATTAATGTTTAATATGATATCGTGGATGTTACTGCTTGTGAGTTTATTTATTTAGAATTTTGTTTTTAAAATCGAATCACGTCAAAACTTAAATAAAAATTATATTTAATTTAATTTAATTAGATTTATTTTAATTCTCTCATTTTTTTTCTTGTAAAAATGTTACGATTATTTGGGAAATAAAATGCCACATCACAACCACATTAAAAAAAAGTTAATGACACAATGACTAAAAATGAATTTTAAAATGTTACTGTTAGAATTCAATGTTTTATAGTCCAATAACCAAAATGAAATATGATTAAAGTTTAGTCATTAGTAGTGTAATTTACCCAAAAGTAATATAAAAAATTAATGGATTTGGTGGAGGGAATGATTCTTAATAATGTAGAAAGAAGAAAAAATCTAATGGCCGTAAAAGCTTTGGGTCCCACACATCTATTCCTTATTTCTAAATAAAATGGAATATTATTTTTGATATAACTATTGAGTTCTCACAGGCAGTATGTTGTCATTTAGGCCTGTAAATGAATTGAACATTCAGCGAACCGTTCGTGAACCGTGCGGCGGGAAGTTCGTTTATGTGCGTTTATTTATTAAATGAACGAACATGAACAATATTTTTTTTTCGTTTAATTAAATGAACGAACATGAACATAGGTCTCGTTCGTTCATTTACGTTCGTGAACGTTCGATTATGTTTGTTCGGTTATGTTTGTTTATGTTCGTTCGATTATGTTCGTTTATGTTCATTCATTTATGTTTAACTCAATCTTCTTAAATCAATTTTGGTGACCAATTTGTAAGTATCTTAAAAATATTAATTAATCTGATATTCTGATGACCAACTCCATAATTAACCCAATTTTATTTGGAGATTAAATCCAATATGTTAACCTGTGAGGCACATCGCACCTATATTCATTTCCCCCTTTTTTCCCAAACCCTAGTGTCCACTAGAGAGTGGAGACGATCGTTGAAAGCTTCAAAACAAGTTATATTATAGTGCAATATGAAGTTTTACAGGTTTGTTTTCATTTCTTTCTCTGTTTTATTTGGCTTAATAGTTGATATGTAAAGTTATTGCAGGTATCTTCACATCTAAAACTCAAGAAAACATCATACTTCTTTCTAGAAATAGATGGGAAGATAAAGGTAACAATCGGAAGTATATGAGCATCAATAAAGAGAAAAATATATAGAATTTGCCAGAAAACAAAACAAATATTTCTATGCAATTTCTGAAAAGAGTGTAATAGCGAAAAATGATTGTTCATATGTAATCATGGACCACTAAGATAAATGTTATAGCGTTAAATTAAAGTTGTGTGAATCATTTAATATCTTTAAAAGATCGATCAAAATATTTGATATCTTCAAACATTTCATCACTGCTAATAAACTCTTACGCTATTTATCACTGTAGATTTGGTTGATTTGCATTGTCGACTATTTTTCATGAAAGAACAATGGAAGGTAGGGTCTCCAACGTTTATGTTCGTTTATGTTCGTGTTCATTTATGTTCGTGTTCGTTTATGTTCGTGTTCATTTATGTTCGTTTATTTATTAAATGAACGAACATGAACATATTATATTCCTTAATAAACGAACATGAACAAAAAAAAATTTGTTCGTTTATGTTCGTGTTCGTTTATGTTCGTCTATTTATTAAATGAACGAACATGAACATACCTCCGTTCGTGTGCGTTCGGTTCGTTTACAGGCCTATTGTCATTTGGTGAAAAAAATTTGAGATTTTTTTATTAATTTAGAGTAAATATAATATAATATATGTTTAAAGATGACTCTCAACCATTTGACAATGAACGCTCATACTCCAAGTATTTATGGTGTTCAAACTCAATATCTCAAAGAATAGCATTAATTCGTTTACCATCAAAATCGCTTAGTTCATACAAATTTTGCGACTTTAAATGTTTATATTCAAATTTTCATTTAAGTGTGATATATATATACATTTTTATTAATATGAAGTAATTATAAGATGTAATATATGTTTAGATTTATTTTTACATATTAACAATACATTTACCTCTTATAAACATAATTACTTAAACTCAATTTTTTTTAAAAGAGAATAGCATTTTTCTTTACTACGAAGGCGGCTCGATAATAAACTTTGCCCAAAATTGTTTTTACGTGTTTATATGTTATATTAATTAATTTTAAGTGTGATTACACGCATGTATAGATTCTTAGTCATATACATTTAGTTTAAGCCCTATTATATGTGGTCAATGTTCATATTTATTTTTTATTTAAGTTTAGATATATTTCAATTATGAGTTCATTTGTTTGTGTATTATAATGTTTGATTGTAGTTGTAATTATATGAATGTATTGATTGTAATTGTATATATAATTTGAAATATAACTGCAATTACAAGTAAGTATTATTATACAATTAAACTTATAGTGAATTACAACTAATTATCATCATACAATTAAATTTATAGTGAAATTTATTTGAACTATAGGTGTTTATGGATTCGGTCAAGTTGACTTATATAATATATTAACACATAATAATATCTGATCTGTCCTAAAATATTTATATTAAATTTTATCCAAATCAACTCATATTTTAAATAGTTAACACAAACTTATTCTAAATATGTCCATATTATTTTTAAAAAATATTTATATTACTCTGAATTTAATATTTAATAATTATATATTTCTAATTTTGTTATACTTTTAAAGGTAGAAAACTTAATATATTTTACAATATATATATTACATACTAACCCATGGATTATTTGAAAGTAAAATAACCTATAGATTATTTGAAAGTGAAATAATTGAACATGTCAATCGCTTATTAAAAGTATACGAGACGATTCTTACTCTTAAATGATTAAATATTTTAAAATAACTCATCAATCAAGTGTATTAATAGTTGAAATAAATATTATTCTGAATTTGAAAAAAAAAGTATTATTCTTTATTAAGGTATTAGATTTGAATAGCTACATATATAATGTGCATATATCATTCCATACTATTAAAAAAATTTAAAATAAAATTTTAAAACAATTGGGATATAATAATATTGATTTTTATATATTTTTGAATTTTTATAACCATCAATTTTCATTATTTTGATAGACTAATTCGAATTAAGTACTGTAGAGGTAAAGACGACTCTCCTAACTTAATTTATTCTATTCACGAACGCAAATATTTTTTCTAATTTTTTGAGATATAAACATAACTATTTTTTTTTAATGTAAACATAATTATTCGGGGGAAAAAGAACATTAGGATGAGTGGACTCGGACAAACAGGCGAGTGATGGCCGAGATACGCGACGACGCGAAAGTGACTTTATAACCCAAACACCGCAAACAGAATCTTCGCCTTTAAAATCTCCTTTTTATTCAATTTTCACTCTTCTCAAGGTAACAGAAATTTTTTTATTTTCTTTCGTTTTCTCTCTCGCCAAACAACACCAAATGCTTCTTCTCCACTCAACACTTTAATAATTAATTAACCTAACAAATAATTCACTTTACCCTCTTTCTATATATATCCATTCACAGTTCCCTCACCCTCTGCTTCCTTCTCCATTTCTCTCAGCTTCAACACACAACAAAATCATCAAGGAATCCGAAGAGAAAAGAAAAATGGGTTCGGTTCCATCAGAACTGAGCTTAGATTTTAGACCAGAATTTGTACCCAGAACGATCAGTAATTTCCTCAGGGAGGTTTCATCGATCGGAACCGGTTCCGATAAGGCTTCGAAACTCGAGTCTTTTGTCAACAAATTGGAAGAAGAAATGAAAAAGATCGATGGTTTTAAACGTGAACTTCCTCTTTGTATGCTCCTTTTGAACGACGGTTCGTTTCTTCGATCAAATTAAAATCTCACGTTTATTGGGATTTTTGTGTGATTCTGTTGAATTGATTCAATGGAGATTTTGATTATTGTTTGATTGCAGCGATTTTAGCTTTGAAAGAGGAATCAATGCAATGTGTGGGGAGACGAGTTGAGCTGGTTTTAGAAGAATTCATGCCATTGAAGGAGAATAATCACAGTGAAGAAGATTCTAACAAGAAAAACGATAACGATTTCAATTGTAATAAAGATAAGAAAAATTGGATGAGTTCGGTTCAGCTATGGAACACTGATGATGATTATAGTAAGGTACCTCTTATGATTATTTTTGGAAAGTTTGTAGTTCAATATGAAATGAAGTTGCTAAATTTTGAACAATTTGTCTTCGTTTACAACAGATGAACAATGGAGATCCATGCAAAAACAGGGTTAATTATAGAGCAAATTTGAGTTTTGCAGCGAAGAAAGAAGAGAAAAATGAGATACCGGTTCACGGATTATCACTTTTGACCCCGGAAATCAAGGATCCAAAAGTGGAATCAGGTTGTGTTGAATCAAGGACAAGTTCTAGCAGAGCGGTTTCGTGTTCGTCCCAGGCGAATTTCCGGTCGATGACCAATCACCACCACCATCAGCAGCAGCAACAGCAGGGTGGTAGAAAGCAAAGGAGGTGTTGGTCGTCGGAGTTGCATCGCCTGTTTGTCAATGCCTTGCATAAATTAGGAGGCTCTCAAGGTGAGAAAATGAAGAACAGATTTCAATTTTGATATCGGATCGTTTGTTGTTCTAGTGATCATAGATAAGAATTGAAGAACTGTGTAACGAATTTGAGACCATTGAATTGCAGTGTTCTTTTTGTTAGGCAATTCGATTTTCGATTCGTTTACATTTGAGTTCCTAAGTCGAAACATTTGAGCTTTCTTTTGCAGTGGCAACTCCGAAACAGATTAGAGAACTTATGCAAGCAGATGGCTTGACCAATGATGAAGTTAAGAGCCATTTGCAGGTGAGTTCTTAGTTCCTTGTATCAATGGTATTCCAAAGCTTTTCATTTTTCAATCCATTGATCGATTCTCCGACTTATAAGAAATACCGACTTCATACGAGACGACTTCCACCTTCCACACCTGCAAATCAATCGGTCGTTGTTGTGCGGAGTGGTCCGTGGATGTCTCAAGATCAGTATGGCGATTCCTCAAAAGTAAGCAGTTCGCAGTCCGGTTCTCCTCAAGGTCCTCTCCAGTTAGCCACAAACACCGGAGGGACCTCGACAACGGGAGGTGATTGCATTGAAGATGATGAAGATGCAAAATCCGAAGCCTATAGCAGGAAAAGCAGTTTTCACAAACCAGGAAAAGATTATGTATAGAGTTTCCTCCATGAATTTTGCATATCATATACTATTGCCATATCATTATCATCATACATAAATGAGAGGGGAAGCTGTGAATTTTTTTGCAGAATTCGGTTTCCTTCGATTTTTCGAATCGAGGTTTCGTGTTTTCATAGAAGAAGCATGGAGCTCTAAAACTATATAGCTTCTCCATTACTTGCTTCTGTTACATTGAGTCTCTGGTTGCTAGTGTTTGCGTCCTACTTTCTTGAGGATAAAGATAAATGTTTCATATTGTATTTACTATTCGTGGCGTGTTTTAATTATTTTTGTAATTATATTCGTATCGAGGCCAACATTTAACTATCTTGTCACATTATTTAACTAATTTCTAATTATAAAGAATATTTTTAGGGTTCTTATTCTCATATTTTCTTATATTTTATCGGCAATCTCGAATTATTCAATATATCTAATAAATTTTGGAAAAAATAAAATAAAAGAGAGATAATGGTGACAAGTAGGCAAATTATTGCATATTAGTTCACCGAAATTCACACCTAACTCCATAATTGAAAGATTGATTGGCAAACAAGAAACCTGACCCAAAAAAATAGTAAAGAAACATTTTTTTACAATTTAAATGATTTTTCTTACAAGAAAACCAACCTCCCAAATTAAAAAATATTTTTTATTAATATTTTGTTATATAAATATCTAAAGTATATTTATGATTAAGATTGGTTTTTTATAATAATTATAATTTGTACAACCAAATTTGGTATGAATAATTAAGATATAACTACATTGTATATATGAAATATGTACGACAATTTTACTTGAATAATGGAGGGAGAGAAAAAAATGATTCGTATAAGATACAATGGAAATTATTGTCCGAACTAAGATTTTTGTTATAGTAGTTGATGAAAGTGGTGAGTATTACACGACGATTTCTATCCAAAATCATATTCCTCTACGTGGCTTATATGAAAATGTCATTGTATAGTTCCGACGGTTTCTAGAAGTCGTCATATAATTCTAATGGTTTTCAGAAAATATCGTGTAATTCTGACGACTTTCACATACTATTATTATAGATTATGACTTCATAAATACATATTATATTATTTTCATTGTAAAGAATAATAAATACATTATCAAACCTGTTGAAAAGACCCTCACCTCACCTAACCTAATCATATCTTTTTCCTTTTTTTCTTTAAAAGAAAAAGGTAACAGTTGTAATGTTTATATGACAGAACGACTAACACAAGCAAAATAATAGACAGAATCTCCCTTACAAGATATATAATTAAGGTGCCCACAATGATAGCTCTATTCTAATATTTATATTATTTTTTATAATTTCCGATATTTGACATATTAATTAACTAATTAAAATTAGATATTATAGAAATTTATCTGGTAGATGATCCTTATCTTATTTAAGTGATATAACATCTTATTTTACCCTATCAACTAATAATTAACTAAAACTTGACTTTTTTTAAAATTGATTGTACAAAATAATTGAGTTATGCTTTGGGTTATTGTAAGAGAAAATTCAGTTTGGTGAATTAAAATCTAGATTTTGTTCTTTGAAAAGAAGATGCTAAGCACATTAATTAGGTCCTTACACTATAAAAGCTTAAATATATATTATATCTATGGGGAATGCTTTGTTATCAAAGATTCCTTCAAAGGTCGGCCATGGATTTTGAACCCTATAATGGGTATAACATAATAATGAAAGCTTTATATGGAAAGTAATAGTCTTTGGGGGAAGACCTACCAAAAAAATTAATTTAATTTCGTTAGTTGAATGATGAATTCAGAAATACTTTTAGGAGAAATATATATATATATATATTAATATTTTTTTTTGTATAGGCAAGTATAAATAAAATTTTAAAATAGGCATTATTAATAAAACAAATTATTAATATAAAAAATAGATTTAAGCTACGTCTGCCGCTGTTTTTGTTAATACAATTTTTTAGAAAATATATTAATTTGATGTACTAAAATATAAATTTTTAAAATATATTTGTAAAATAATGTTTAATTTATTAATCAATTATTAATAAGTATATGACTTTTATATATGGGTGCATTGAGTACGGGACGATACAAAACTTAAAATGGACTGATTTTGATTTGATTTTAATTGTGCAAAAACTTTTTGTGTGTATTGATTGTTTGTCTATTAAAAAATGAAAAAAAATATGAATTTATTTAGGTTAGGGTGTATTTATTTATGTGTGTTTGATTGTTTATTTGTTAATAAATATTCATTATCATTTTAGACATGTTATATTTGTGTTATAATAAAATCAGTAAACGTATCATTATTGTTCTGTTTTTTTTTAGTGTTAACGCTACTTATATGTTATGATCAATGATATTGTTTGTGTTTTTTTAAATGTTATTTCGTTGATTTTTTTAATATTTTTGTATAACTTTTTTTATTATTTAGTGACTATTTTATACTCTGTAATAGTTTAATGAAAAAAGATCGATATAATAAATAGTTTACTCTATATTTAATATATTTTTCTTTTTTCTTTTTCAAGATATTAGAAAAAAAGTATCTTCAATTCACTGATAATAGAAATATCTTTAATATAAGTATTTTTCATTTTTTATCCGTGAATTGAAGATTTCATAGATCAATATATCTTTAAAAACTCTGACCTTACATGTATGATCTATTGATCTTTAATAGAAGTATCTTCAATTCATGGATAATAAATGAAAAATATGTTAGTTTTTAAAGAGATTCGAAACTTACTGTAACCGATTTATTTAGTGGGATAAGACACTAGATTTCTTAAGTAATGTCAGAGATTTGAACCCTGACGTTTGTAAATGGAACAAACTGGGTTGAGAGAGTTGCACTTACCTCTGTAGTACCCGATCTGAATTAGTTGATCAATAGATCAGATACCAGTGATTAATTGATTTTTTTTTAAAAAATTGAATCTTATTCATCAATATTTTAGCATATTCAAATTTGTATAAGTTTGAGTATTTGACATAATATTTTGAATTTTTAAATTCAGTTTTTTTCCTATAAAATTAATATTTGATACATAATATTTAATTTAAATTTAGACGATAACACATAAGTAATTTACGAATAAAAACGGATAAACGTACTTATGTATAAATAATTCAGATCTAAACTTCAAGTTTGACCAATAAAAATTATATACATTCCTTATCCCATTTACATGTGAATAAATAATTCTTAATGGAGATCTTAGTAAATGGGCTAAGGAATGTAGATCATTTTTATTGGTCAAATTTTATTATTTCTGTATTTTTAAAAATTGGAATTTTAATCTTAACTCGAATAATAAAATTATAATATAACTAAATTATATGACTTAAAATTACTTATGTTTACACGATTTCATTCGGAGAATAAGAGACGAAATCAAATATTTTTAAAATATAAAATTAAATTTTTATAAAATTTAAAGGTTGGATTGTATTTATTCTATCGAAAAATGTATAATTCATTATTCTTAAGGAATTATGGAGTAATATTTAAGCTTACTCGTTAGAAATTACGTCGGTTTAACTGACGTCTTTTAATTCTTCATTATAATACAAGAATTTTACTTTTGTTATACGTTCTTGTTTCTTTTTTAACTTTTCAATGTCTCCATTTATGTCGTCAATAATGATCCATTCGAGATCGTCGTCGTCGTTATATTATAAGTATTTTTTTTTTCATCGAATGATTCTCGAAAATAAAATATTTATTGACACATCATCATATATTGTCTCAAAAATAGAAATATGACATTTCTTTCTCAAAGTGATGCTACATGATGACCACACATATCAAATATCAACACTAAAAATTGAATGATTTGATAAATATTATTGATATCATATCAATCAATTTACGTTTTATCATATAATAAAATCGTCAAAAGTATTTCAGAGATGTAATATTTCAAAATCTTTTCATTTATCATTTGAGAGATCCCTCGCTGTTAAAACTTGTTTATTATTTATGTGATTGTAAAATTTGATTGTTCATAATATAATCCTTGATAGTGATTGATTATTCTTTAGTCCATTAGGATTTGATTTGAAAGGAATAAACTCGGCTCGAGTTTAATTTTTTTTTTTTGAAAGGTCTAGTTTTCTTGAAATAATTATTTAGTTAATCGATTGCTAAGAATTAATTATACTAATTATTTCTAAACTACGACTTTAATTTTAAATTAATTATAAAAATTTAAAATATTCTAATTCAATCCCAAAACTATTAACGTTATACCAATTGTCGTTCGGTTAACGGTTAAATGCCAAGCCACCTATTATGTGTTTCATGTTATAATCTGAGATGGCATAAATTCAGTGACCCATTTATAATCTTTATAATAATTGAGTGACTTATAATATATTTTACTCTTGAGAAACATACAAATAATAGCTTTTTCCCCAAGAAAAATACAGATTTTATTAAATAATAATTAAATAAAGAGAAAATAACCTCAGTGACCAAAAATCTCATATAATATACGATTTTAACCAATTTTTTCTGGATTTGCCAAAATGACCAACAAAATCGCAATGCGATCGCTAATTCGCAACGCGATCTCCATTATCGCAAATCAGTTTCCATATTCGCAACGCGATTATGACTATCGCAATGCGATTTTCCAATTTCGCGTTGCGATTTTCCCAATTCGCAATACGAATAAGTAAATCGCAGTGCGAATTTGGAAAATCGCAATGCGATACTGACTATCGCAATGCAATTTTCCTAATTCGCATTGCGATTTACGTATTCGCGTTGCGATTTTCATAATTCGCAATGCGAATACGTAAATCACAATGCGAATCTTACTATCGCAATGCGATTTACATAGCGTCATTCGTATTAACGCGTATTTTTTTTCAAATTCCAAACACGAATTTTTTCTTAATAAATCGGAAACTGAACCGTCCACAGTAATCGCAACTCATAACCTCAAACCTAAAATCACAACACTCAGTCACATCTCCATCTCTCACTCTCTACGGCGAAATCCGTCCCCATCTCCGAAGATTTCCGTCCCCATCGCCGGCGAAATCCCTCACAACCATTCACAGTCAAAAATCTCTCACAATCATTCAGAAATGGAAAATAAACCTCCGAGGGTTAGTTTTGTTTTATTTTTATTTTGAAATTTTTGCATTATTTTAGGTTTTTCATATTGAGATTGATGATAAGTTTACTGGTAAT